GGTATGCCATGCTGCCTGCAATACCCTCACAGATGGTCTGGTGTACTCGCTTCAGCACAGACAAGTCAAACAGCCTCTTCATCCCTAATAAGCTGATAAAAGCAATTGATCTCATCGTGTTCAGTTTGTGGGCTTGAGTAACTCCAAAGGTTGATCCCTACATGCAGTCTTAAAACGTCTTAAGTATGGTGGAGAACTTGCTTAGCTCCTCTTCTCTGGGCCACCTTTCACCCTGGCAGAAACCAGACCAGATGAAGATGGATTTATGGTAACTTTGGAAAACCTGTCTTTTTTGGTTATAGGTATCAGCAGCATTAGCACATCCTTTGAAAACAGCCTCAAGAGGTTTCTGGGTGATGTTTTGTGCTTACCTTTGGTAGTTGTCTCTGAGTACTTAGGAGAGAATGAATGCATAAAGAGAAGACTCTGTGCTTTTCCCCTGCAAAGGGGAATTCCTTGATCATCTTTCCTCAAGCAGATTCGGGCATGTTGTTCCTTTTGCTTTCATATTGTAAACCTACACATCCTGTCCTCATTCCTATAGTAACGAGAGAGCTTTGCTCGGGAGTGCTGGCTTCTCTTCAGTGGTCTTTGTCTTCCCTCCTAGGAAACAGTTTGAATGTGCCAGAAGAGTCCCAGTTCCTCAGAACTGCATCTGGCCAAGAACCTGACCGAGTTGGTCTGTAGTATTTCTCTCATTAAAAAAAGCCTGCTTCTTCCCCCCCCCCCCGCCAAAAACCAAAGTCATCTGTGAACAGTAACAAAGGATTAATTGTGGAGACTTGGGACTTGGCAGAAGTGCCTGTAAATGAAGTGCTTTTTTGGAACCAACATTGGCTGTCTTGCAGATCAAAAAATAAATGCAAAGTATTTCAATGTGTATCAGTGGATTAATTAATTTGATTGCCACTTCCCTTCCTCTTCGCTTTGTGGGGAGGGGCGCTCCGGAGATTGCAATTTTAATTGCTTGACCGCAGTTGCTAATTAGTGGTGCACCAAAAGGGCATGGATCATTAATTAGTACTGAATACAAGGATCTCTGAGGTTCAGCTATAGCATCAAATGGACGAGTTTAGACAACTCTCGACTGAAATTACAGTGTATCAGTAAACTGAGTTATAATAATGAAACCATTAGACTTTTTTCTCAGTCCTTGCATGTTGGTTTCTATGTTTGCAGGGTATGTGCTGGTGATCTTAAAGAATGTAGCATTTTTATATAAATAGATATTTAATGTTTGTATATATATTGCACATATGTATCTATTCTGAAGGCATATATATACATGCCTATAGAATAGTTATACATAACTCAGAGTTGTTATACAGTGACATACCTTATTTAATTTTATTAAGTGTTTTGGGGTTTTAATCCATTAGGTAGTTTCATCGGCAATATATAAAAGCAGGGCTCTCTACAGCCGCTTTCTTTTTCAGTCGGTACCTGGATTTGTGCTACTGTATCCAAAGGGAAATCTAGCTCTGGAGTGTAATGGCCTGAGAGCAGAATATTATCCACATTATTACTTTAATGTCCTATAGTCTGCATCGTATTTTTTCTGGTTTTAAAACTTGATGGTGGAAATGAATTGTATAACTCCAGTTACACATTAACATTGCTGCATTCAAGATTCTCAGATAGTGCAGTGTGGAATAGGAATATGCCTATAATACATACTGGTATCAACTTGTTTTCTACTGGGTGGATTAAGAACTGGTTAATGGACAGACTGCAAAATGTAGACACGTGTCGGGTCACCATAAATTGCTGTGTGTGTAGTAGGGTTACTGGTGCATTGATATAAAGCTGAGTGTTCTGCAGTATTTGCATCCACAGTTTAGAGATAAATAGGAAATAACTGCTGATAAAAATTATGAATCATCTGAACAGCATGTGCCTTACTTCAGCTAAATTCATAAACTGGACTTTGGTTATGGACATGTAATTATGGATGTTGATGGGGCAAATGGAAAACAGTGGCTCTGAAATTTAAATAATACAAAAAATTATATAAATGGATCAAGTTCTGCCACCTGTTCCACTCCCATATTCCATTTGTGCATTTATATGTATCCATTTGGGGGCTTTTAAAATATGAAACACATTTGAATATGCAAGAGCCATAAAGTCTGGTTTGTAAAACCCAGCAGCATTCAGTGATGAATCTAGAGAGCTGTGCTTGTATTTAGTGGGAAGTAGGAAGTAATCAGTAGAAAACTACTAAAATCCTTTTTTTTTTTTTTTTAACAGAAAACCTATATTCACTTTATTTTTTAATTCTCCTGTAGAATTTTGTAGGAAGATGGTGTTCAGCAGTTTACCAGTATATTAATGGGTCTTTATTTATGTAAGTCTCTGGGGCTGAGCAACCATCTCCTGTTGAGAGTTAGAAACTAGATGTCTGGGAGTTCAGAAGTTGGCAGGAGTTTTCATAGGCCATTTTTCCTCAAGGTAATTTTCTTGGCTTTTGCTGTGTTTGAGACTCAGTTTGTGGAAAGAGGGTTGTGTTTCTGCTCTCTCCTCCTGCTCCTGCTTCCTCTTTCACAGGAGTTTCTGAAACGGTGCAGCTGCCTGCCCTGAATTCACCGGTGCGTCGCATGGAAACTTGGCTTCTTGGCACATGGAAGGGATGGCTGTTTTCTTCTGTCCCCGTCTCTGGGGAATTAAAGTCACATTTTGTGTTCCTGCTTAGGTTTAGAGCCAAATTTTTCACTTCAGCTTCCTTCCTCCCCCTGCCCCTCTCTCCTCTCCTTAATTAAAAGATGCTCAGGTCGAATGCATATAGCTGCAGCTGAAAAAGGATGAAAATAGCACAGATGAAATAACTACACTATTGAGACCTGGACCTTTATTTAGCATCACATTTGCTGGCATGTCACTGTAATGGAGTTCAAAAGCCAACTGGATTACTTTTTTCAACAGATTAATTAAAATCTCTAATTTTAAAGGGAACTAAATTTTGTTTGCAGTCAAACATGATTTTTACAGCTTCAGCTGTTCCTCCCATCTAAATGAATGACAAAGTCATATTCGTTCAGTGTAAACAGGAATAGATTGACCACATCTGTATGTGTTCAGTCTCTCTGTTTCCCAGAGGCTATGAGTACATCCAAACTGAGATGCTGACTGCTAAAACCAATATCTGTATGGCACTGGCTAAAACTGCTCATTTTCAGCACCTTTGAAAATCAGGTAATTTATGGAGCGCCCAAGGATGAGCACTGGTTTTGAGAGTTAGATGACGTAGGTTTTTAGATAATGGACTCCAGGTAAATGTCTACAAAAAGATCAAAAATCAATGTCAACACCCTTTACCTTAATTAGTTTCTGGAAGCCTGGTAGAATCCCATGCCAGCTCTTCCCTGAGCAGGGAAGAAATTAATTTCAAAAATTACTCGGAATAGTGTGGGGCAAAGGATTCAAAAGAGCAGCATTGGGTAGGACAGCATTTCTGATAAATCACAAATGATCCTTCTCACAGAGGAATATCCTGTAAAATATCTAAACACAGAGGTCCTTAATATTGAGGTTAACAGATTTTTTAAAAAGGAGAGAGCAAGCAATGGCAAGATGTGCACTAAGGTGTTTTACAGGAAAGACGGCAATAGACGCTCACAGAGCCTGGACTCTGGTGTTGCACGGGTATCTCTCTTGATAAAGCTATTATGAAGTGCCTTGAAAATAGTGCTGCTGAAATTACTCGCCTTATCTGTGGTTTTAACAGAAACACTGCTGTTCTTTTCCACTCCTCTGAATACTTCCCTTGCTTTCACTTTGAACTTAAAAACTTCAGTCTGCTTTCCCTAATTTAACCTCCTTCATGCCAATGGCCCTTTGTAATTTACCTATTCTTTTGTTATTCAATCATTCCCAGCTTCTTCAGCCAAGCTAACATGATGATCTGCACGATTTCCTTGAAATCTTCTCTCACAGCATTTTAATAACTTCCCCAAGTAAGTTCACGGTGCTCCTGCCCTTTCAGTTCATGTCGTCGCTGTTTGAGTCATGGGTACGATCAAGTGGCAGTAGCCAGTTAGGCAGCCACAGCTGTGTACATTGGACATATACGTTTAACCAGGGTGCTTAAATGTGAGGTCTTTTCTTGGTTGAGCTCTGTGAGGTTTGTGAAGGAGAAGACGACTGTGGCTGGCAGATTTGCCAAGCACGTCAAAAGCAAAAGTGATCTTGAACTGCCAAAAGAATTCAAAAACAGGGAAAATGTTGCAATATTTGCCTGCATAAAGAGGGGAATATGAAGTATGAGTGTAAAAGAGGTATTGATTTTTTGCGTACATTAAGATCATTTGGGAATCCTACATTCACTTTTGCTATCCATACTGGAAGAAGGCATTGGAAGAGGCTGAGAAAAGATCTAATCTGACACCTTCACTCTCACAAAAGGCTCAAATTCCATTTTACTTCCCCAAGAGAAGGCTAAGAGGTGAATTGGGTTTTGTTTACTCCATATATATATGCACAAGTAGATCAGCTAAAACTGCTTCCTAGCAAGCAGAAATAGCTGTTGAGATCAGTGGCGGGACACTGACAAGTGTGAACCAGAAGCGAGATGTGAGTTTGCTGCACTGGGAGTATCACTGCAACATTTTAGATAGGGGAATAATTCACTGTCCCTTGGTTGAATGTCTTAAAAAATTCCCTATACCTCAGCCAGCTCACAGCTTCTGTACATAGGAATTGCTGCATGAGGACTTACAGCCTGTCAAGTAGAGGTTGGATGGCTCTCCTGGCCTTACACTAGCTATATGTCCTTATTTTGCCAATTCTGTTCTTTTCTCTCATTTTACTCATTGCACCATACTGAGATGGGCAGCAGTCAGATCTCCATCTTCTGTATTTGCACAGCTTCCAATGCCATGATGCTGGACGAGCAGAAATAATAAACAGTGCTGAGGGTTGGTAACAGTTCAAAGAACTCGGGATGCAACTACTTAATATCCATTTATTTTTACTTGCCTTTTTCTTTTTTTTTTTTTCCATAGTGAAATACATGAGAGAAGCAACCCCCTATGTGAAGAAAGGCTCTCCTGTTTCAGAAATTGGGTGGGAGACGCCTCCTCCCGAATCTCCCCGCTTGGGTTGTGCCTCTGCTGACCCCCTGTCGCAGCTTTCACTCTCCATCCACAGAGACAAGAAGACAATACCGCTCAAGATGTGCTACGTGACGCGCAACATGACGGTGTCGGACCCCGAAAACAGGTGAGCGAAGGATTTGCCCGGGGCTGGGATTTTGCCTTCGCATTGAATCGTAGTTGACCTTTTCAGCGTTGGGGTTGGTGAGGAGGAGCTGGTGATGGGCTCTGGCCACACAGAGCGACCCAGCAAGGGGCAAGTGAGCACTGGTTTGGGAAGGGTGGGTGGTGATGTCTGAGCCGCGTGGCGCTGGGTGCAGCGTTTGGGTTGTGCTAGAGAAACTCTTCAGCACGGTAATCCAACGTTTTTGTTAGAAATAGAATCACAGGGGTTTGTTTTCATCCTGATTAAGTGTCTGCTTTTGAAGGAAAAGACACTGTACACACTAATTGGTTACATCTTGCGGGCTGGCTTAATTTAATTCCACTAAATTGCATTTTCTTTTCTTTTTTAATGAACATTATTTTAAGAATGGCCTGGTTTGTCCATTCAGTTCTGGGCATTAAAGTCAAGACTAGGAGAAAAGTTCCGCTTGCAAGGCATTAGTAGGGAATTTCTGTGACTTCTTGTTTTTTTCATAACTTTAAAAATAGGATGAGCTTTTACCAGCCCTTATTTATAACATATGTGGAACAGCTGCACCACACCAGCACACTCTCTGATCCCTTCACTAACAGCTGCTAATAAAAAAGGGACTAGTCAAGTCAGTAATACAGACTGATTCTTCCATCCAAATAATGGCCTTTTGGTTTTTCTGAAGTGTGCTGGCTTGCCCAGAAGCTGGGTGTAATGCCTTTGATTCTCAGCACTTACGTATAGGCATAAATAAAAGTTACATTTTCATTTGCAGAGAAGGATAAGGAGCAGAGGGGAGAGCAGAAGGGGGTTTGGGGAGGATGGGTTCCCCTATAATCTCTTGCACTGCAATTTAGAAACTTTATCAGTATCTGTGTAATTTTCCTTCTTTCTTTTTCATATTTGTCTGACCTTCTTTCAAGGTTTTTCCCCCCTATGCTTTATTGTTTAGTATTGCTTTACTTTGCTTCTGCTCTTCATCTCACCAAGTGGTGACCGCCACCGTCAGTGATAACTGACCACTACAGAAGTGCAATTGTAAAACAGCAATTACCCTAGCAGTCTTTTTCAAATTTAAATCAAGATGGATATTGATATGGGCCACTTTTTTCACATATATCTGTGTAGTTTAAGATGTTGACGTTTGACAGCTGTATCACTAGCCTGAGAGTTTGTGGTTCTCTCTGCCATGGAGTAAAAATGAAATACCCATGCAGGCTGCATTATTTCAATCAGCACAATGTAACGATGCTTTGCACATGTTGGCTTCATTCTTTCAGCATTTTTCCCTTCTTTTTTTGACCGTATTGTAGTTCTCAGCTTCTGTTACTCTCCTGGTCCTCAGTTTTGTTTGAAGGCCAGGAGGACTGATTCAGAAGGACAGACACGCACTGCTCACGATAATTCTGTGATGAGGCTAACTTTTTTGAAGTGTGCTACAAGTGCGTGTGTTCTTAGGTGTTACTAGGAAGTAATGCGTGGGAGAGTCGTGTTGCTTATTATCATGGTTTTCATTTTGTGTTACTGTCATTTGCTGTGGAAAGAGCAGTGTACAGTCTAAGCTGGATTTTTCCATCCAAGCTCACAGTACGTCACGATCGTGCTAGCTGCAGTGTAATAGTAGCATCCCATCGATTTGGGTCTTTACCAATTTCAGGGTTTTTGACAATTCTGAATACTGGAACTGATATTTCCCAGTAGAAATGCTATTACAATGCAGCAACACTTTCCCACTGGAATATATCCCAAGATAGTAATCTGATTCCACAAAAATAATTTGATCTTCGTTCACAGCAGAGCCCAAACCATGTCCTTACATGCTTATGACGCTTCTGTTTTATAACCCAGTGACCTGACACACATAGATCTTATAACTGATGGTGTCACTTTGCTGGATGGCTTTAGAAGAGCACCGCTGGCAGGCTACCAAAGCACATGCTGACCATAAAAGGGTTCCTTTGGACTACAGCTGAGCTAATTGTCATCTAGGACCAAGCGTGGACATAGAAAGCATGAGTTTTCCAGTGCAGATGTTTCTCCAGTGCAGGCTGGAGATCATGTCACAGCAGCTTTGTGGGACCAGGCTGAACTGGTTTGACGTTCAGCATGACAAGATACCCATGTTAAAGGACCCAGGAGGAAATACCTGCTTGGTGGCACTGAATCATCTCCAGTTCTTAGGAAGCTGGGGTGAAATGTGGGTTTAACGGGCACAGAGGAAGTTACACATCTGGTTTTCCCACAAGAGCTGATAGCCCTGCGTAGGATTTCTGCTTCTCCTTGAAGACTGGCCCAAGTTAAGAGATTCCTAAGTCTGTGTCTACCCTCAGATAGTTTGATGAGCCTGTTATTAAAAAAAAAGTTTGGTGCTTTTAGAGCCAGTGGTTCTCAGATGTCTCCTTCACCTAACCTGCCTGTGGGTTCACTCTGAAGCAGGTAGGGAATTGGCTTACCTGTTACCTGATTAAAAAAGCTGTATGATACCAAGGAGAAAATTCTTAATACAAACCAATGCCAAGCCTCAGTATGTAGAAAAATATTTTTTAATAGTACAAGCATGGCAACAGGAGAAAAGATGCAGAGCATCTTAGTGGCATCTATGTCATTCTCCTCTAGACACAGGGGCCATTGTTATATTTTAGGCTGGAAGAAACTAGATTAAAATGATTACCACTTAAATCTGTCATTTGCCTGCTTTTTCACTGATAAGTGTCCTTCTTGGTGGCAGTGCTAGAGGTTCATGTCAGGCCTCACAGGGCAGCATCTCCTCCCGGTGAAGGGACCTGTGGGAATGGTCGCAGCTAGTAATACCAATAAGCAGTAAATCTTACTGCGGTGCAAAAAGCTTTTCATCAATTTCTGGTGATGATATTAAGGAACAGGAGAGAAAAAAAAAAGGGAAATAGGTGTCTGAGGTGAAATTTGTTCTGTTGGTGCTTTTGAAGCCTTGGGTACAAAGGTACTTCCTTGCATAGCACAGGAGACATGACATTCCCTGTAGGAATGAGGCTGTGCTGCATGGACTGAAAAGGTTTTTTCTTCTGCTTTTGAAATCACCCTGAAATCCTGCTTGCACTTCATTCAGCCAAACCCAGGAAGCGTGGGCCTGATCCTGCCAGCACTTAGTGTGCACAGGTCACGTTTTTCCAGTGTCCAAAGCAGTGCGATCCTTACAGGATCTTCAGCAGGGATCCAGTCTTAAGGATCGAGTTACTCGTTGGCAGGATTTGGCCCTCTGATGGGAAAGGTTTGCTTTGGTTTTGAAGCTAGGAAGAATGAGCCAAGGACAGATTCCCAGAAGGGTGGCCCTGGCTGCCAGCTGCACGCAGCGGCAGCACCGCAGCAAGTACAGGTGCAGTTCACAGACTTCACATCGAGGACACGCGGAGAAGCAGATAAGGAACTTTTCTTATCTGTTGTCCATTTCAGGGTTGGACTGAGAATTATGATCAGAAGATAAAATCCTGCAGGTATCTTTTAAAGGTGGTAGAAGAACTGTGCTGGAATGCATTCATCCTGGGCTCTGTGCACTGAGCTGCCGCTGGGAATTACCTGAGCTTCCCCAGATGACAGGGAGGTGCGAGACAGACTGAGACCTGCTTACTCCAAAGGCAGCTATAGACTTAAGCTGCTTCATTGCTTAGATAATTTTTTTTTTCTGCATTGGGAAGCACTGGTTCACTGAAAGACATATTTGCAAGATTTATTGCAAAGCTTCCGCTGCCCAAATTGATTCCTTTTGCACACATTCTTTTTAAAAAATTTTTCTTCTGTTATTTAATAATATGTCAGTAATGCACAGTAACAAGGTCAGTGAGTTTTAACATTTTGAGTTGTAATTGGTGTATAAGCTTGTCATTTATGTAATTTATGTAAGCATAAAATATCCCTGTGTGGTTCCGAAATGAAATTTAAAAATCTTAAATATAAAACAAATTCTGGTGAATTTGGATGTATTTGCTTTTGTTACAGTAAGGCATGAAAAGAAAAGTTGAAACTTCTTTAAAATACAAAGTGAGTTTCAACCAGATTTAATACGACATAGTAAAAACCAGTCCTTGTGCCAAAAAACTTGAGCCATGAATGCTGATAACAAACATAAGAAGTTAGCAGAAGAGCGTGAAGATGAAATAAAAGACAAGCATCTTTAAGTAGAAGTCAGGGAGCTGTGACATTAGTATAGGACAGCACTGTCCAAAAATGGACTTCTTGAATGTTTTTCTAATGCATTTTCAGCTGTGAGGCTGATGGATTATTTATATAGGTGATGTCTGGAATACTAGTAGAAACGCCATGCCTTTTCAGTAAAATGTAGTTTGGGACCTGCCAGCACTGCCAGTTTCACTGCTGGTAGAAAGCACAACTATTTTTCTTTAAAAGGACTACAAGACTTGACATGTTCAGGCTGGACATTAGGAAGCATTTCTGTACCGAGAGGGTAGTCAAACACTGGAGCAGGCTTCCTAGAGAGGTGGTCGATGCCCCAAGCCTGTCAGTGTTTAAGAGGCATTTGGACAATGCTCTTAATGACATGCTTTAACTTTTGGTCAGCCCTGAATTGGTTAGGCAGTTGGACTAGATGATCGTTGTAGGTCCCTTCCAACTGGAATATTCTATTCTATTCTATTCTATTCTATTCTGTTCTGTTCTGTTCTATTCTATTCTGTTCTGTTCTGTTCTATTCTATTCTATTCTGTTCTGTTCTATTCTGTTCTGTTCTATTCTATTCTATTCTATTCTATTCTATTCTATTCTATTCTATTCTATTCTATTCTAAAGAAGGAGTGACAGACATTTAACTCCTGCACCTCTTCAAGCTCATGCTGGTATAATTTAAGAGCGACCAAGGGGGCAGGGAGGCAAGTATTAGGCAGTGCAGAAGAGTCTGGACGTCTTGTTGATGAAAGCGTGGGCTGGCTCATGCCTCCACCCTGCCTGTTCCCTGCTTGGTAAACAGGACCATACTTTGATGTTGCCAGGCACGAGCAGCC